CAGGTAATGTTTATTACAAGTAAAAAAAAAAAAAAAAAAAACTGGAACAATACATGTTGATCCAAGAACAGGATGTCCTACTTGTGTAAATCCCATGGCTTCATAGTAGTTGCTACTGTATGGCTTACCATAGTTATACTGGCTGTTTCCTTTCTCACAATTGATGATGTTGAAACGATAAGGCACGCCGGCCACCATGCCGCTGACTTCAAAATAGAACCACTGACAGTGTGCAGAGGAGTTGACATCAGCATTGAGAATCAAATCATATTCATGACTAAGAGAGAGTGCGAAAGAGAGAGAGGAGAAAATCAGACAAATTGAGTGTAAGAGAGAATAGGAGAGAAGTAATGAGAGAGAGAGAGAGAGAGAGAGACTGAGAAGCGTGTTACATAAATGACAGAGAAAAATCTCTCACTCCATCCCTATCTGTTGTTACGCCGCCACATTTCATTTGGAAAAATATAACGTCGGCTCTTTTATTTAAGCGCATCGGAAGTGCTCTGTAGACAGTGTTTTTGATTTGATCTTGCATGCGTTGACGAGACAAGCTTGCTGAAAGAGTGGAAACATAAGAAGGAAAGAGAGAGAGAGAGAGAGAGTATGATTGCAAATGCACTACAAATGAGGCCCAAGGGCACTCGGCGAGCTGTCTGCAGTACATGTTTGTGTGTGTGCGCTTGTGTACGTGTGCTGTATTGCAATGCAGTCTCACCTGCGGACTTGAATGGCTTTACGCAGGTTCCCGCTCTCAAATTTGGAGAAGAATTGAAGGGAACTGGGACACATATCGGAGGAACACTGTGGACTGAGAAAAGAAAGAAAGAAAGAAAGAAAGAAAGAAAGAAAGAAAGAAAGAAAGAAAGAAAGAAAGAAAGAAAGAAAGAAAGAAAGAAAGAAAGAAAGAAAGAAAGAAAGAAAGAAAGAAAGAAAGAAAGAAAGAAAGAAAGAAAGAAAGAAAAGAGAAGTGAAAATGATGAAGACAGACAGAATGAAAAAAAGGGAAGAAAAAAGGAAAAAAGGGAGGAAGAAAAGGAGAAAAACAGGAATAAGTGACGGAATGAAATACAGGAAGGAAGGAAACAAAAAGAAATACAGGAAGGAAGGACAGAGTGAATATAGAAATGCAAAAAGAAATATAAAGGAATTAAAAAGAAATATAAGAAGAAATGCAGACAGAAGGAAAGACAGGGAAGAAACAAGGAAGGAATAGAAAGGAAAATGAGATTGGCTGGAGAAGTCTAATACACAGAAAAGCAAGCAGAGAAGAAAAGAAGAGAGAACGAGAGATTTTGGACAGCTGTGCTGACTGAGCATGTTCCACTCCACCATACTCTAACATTAGCTTAACAAACAAGTGAATTATCACCATACTTGTCCTAGATATTGATTCACACTACTAACCACGATTCATGCTAAATCATTCATTCTGCACCGTTTGTGTCAATAAATTCCAGTCACACTGCAAATGACACAGAAGATGATTGCAGAAAACTGTTCAAATGATTGAGGCACACTGTTCTGTCTCGGAACTATATGACCAAAACCAAATAAGATTGTTCCTAGAAAGGTACTGTATTTCTACCTCAATTACCCTTTTCAAGGTTTTATTGTAATTGTTATAATGGCTTTTAAAAATAACTTGGGGGAAAAAAAAGACTTTTAATAAGATTTGAAGGCTGCACTGAAGATCTTTCACGTTCTGGTTGCTACCGTAGTATCAATCCAGCATGCCTGTGAAAGATCCATTAAGATCCATCAGAGGCACTTAATGAATTTAATGTATCAGTGTACCATCTAGATTAGTGGTCACCAACCTTTTTAGGTCCAAGATCCCTGACCTCGGCCTTTATGAAAGACAAGATCTACCTATTGAAGAATTGATAGAAAAAGACATCCCAGATTATACTTCAAATTTGAGGCCTTTTACTTGGTATTTTAATTAGTGATGTGCCGATCATAGCTGATTCAGAATTCAGATTTTCTTTTCTTTCTTTCTTTTTTTTTTTTAAATCAATCTTACCCCAAACTTTTGAATGGTAGTGTATCACAGTTTCCACTATTAAGAAAATGCCATTACCATCGAAACTTTTCTCAAGACAGTTCCCTTCGGTGATACATTAATATCACCCCATAAATGTAATGCATTTTTGTACTTATTTTACATTTTTTTTCGGGATCTACTGGGACAGTGATAAAGATCTACAGGTTGGCGACAGGTTGGCGACCACTGATCTAGATGGTTCCCATGCCACTGACGTGAGGATCTATTGAAAATGCTTTATCAGAAAAAAATAGCAGTGTTACCTGGGATCATCCATGTCAAAAACAACCTTGTTGATGATGTCCTCTGGACAGATGAGACGCTGGATGTCTTCGAAAACTTTCTTTCTGGAACATTGGAAAATAAACAAATAAATAAAACCATCAGTGAACCACAGCTTTGGTTTCCAAAAGTAGAACTCAATTTATAGATTAAAAAAGATTTAATCAATATTTTTATTTTAATATATTTTTTAAAAGTCTGAGTATATGCAGTACATTTCATGTCAATGTCACTTGATTTGACTTGACTTATTGCACAATTAAAACACATGTATCAATCAATGTGCTTTAATTTTTGAAACAACATAGCCTACATCACACCACTGTAAAACACAAAACAGTCAATGGTTAATACAGCTGGGTAAAAAAGAAAAATAAATTTCTCGATTTTAATCGATTCTCATTTTTTACAAAACTATATTGACTCTTAAATCCTAACAATCGATTAGTCTAGCCCTGCAGGGCAGGTGTCCTGCAGAGTTTAGCTCCAACTCTAATCAAACACACCAGAACCAGCTAATCAAGGTCTTACTAGGTATACCTGAAACTTCCAGGCAGGTGTGTTGAGGCAAGTTTGCACTAAACTCTGCAGGACACCGGCATTAGAGTTTGGTGACCCCTGTTTTACAGCATTAATTGAGAGATTTTTTTGTCTTTGAGAAAATTTGCCAGTTGAAAATTGTATATCCAAAATAAGCAATATCAAACTGAGTGGCAGCTCTAATATAAGTAGGCAAACGATCCCAAAGTTTAGGTGCTGCTACAGCAAACGCACAATCCCCTCTTTGATTTTATCTAAAACTTGAAATTTTAAATCGCTTTTGGCTAGTAAATATCAGTATTCTTCCAGATTGATATTCAGTCAGGAGATCCGAAAGATAGGGCGGTGTGAGACCATTCAACGATTTATACACTAATAAAAAGATTTTAAAATCAATTCTATAACTTACAGGAAGCCAATGAAGTGAGACTAAGATGGGGGTGATATGTTCCTGTTTTTTTTATACCCATCAACAGTCTAACTGGTGCATTTTGATCGAGAGATGGATGATTGACTAATTCCTTTATAAAGCGAATTACAATAGTCAAGTCTTGAGGAGATCAAAGCATGTATTGCATGTATGAGTTTCATACATTTCATGTACATATATTAAAAACAATGTGTATAAGTGTCAGGATTATGGACTCATTGTGTTGTGTTTTCCCTCCACATGCGTTCCGTGTCCCCGTTAATTAGTTATTCCATGCACCTGTGTTTCCCCAATTATCCTGTGTTTATAAGCCATAGTCCATTCAGTTCATGTTTGTCGGAGATTATACGTCAACCCTGGTGTTTCCTGTGCTCCTGTCTGCCCAGTGTATTTCCTTGGATGTTTGGATTAAAAGACTATTGTTTTCGTGTACTCCTGGTCTCCTCGCTCTGCGCTCCTCGCCATAGGCAGAGTGTGACAATAAGTATGCATATTTTTGTATACATAGTGTTCATTTCATTAAAAGAAAAGTATGACAAAAAATACTTGTTGACAACTTTTCTTCCATGAGTAAGACGAAACAACACTGGCATTAAATGTGACTGAATCAACATGCAATATCGCTGACAAAAAAGACAAGACTAAAATGCAGTTTAAAAAAAAAAAACTCTCTTTATATTTACTTTAAAAAACAAAAAGGGAGAAAAGCATAGACCTGAATATAATTTTGAATTTTTTTTATTAATATTACAAATTTAGGAATTAGTTTTAGTTACTGAGAGAAGGTTTTGAATTTTTCATATTTTTTTTCATAACGTAAAGAGTATGTTCATTTATATCATAATTTAATAAATCAGAAAACTGGATTAGGTAAATTAAACCATGTGTATGAGTCATAAATGAAAGAATAAAATCGGTCCATATGTATTGCATGCTATATTGCTATATTATCATGTTAAAACGTTCATCTTGTTAGATTTTTGAATGATTAAAATCTTTTCAATTGATTCAATTCACAAGACTGGCCTCAACAATTTATCCATGAATCTAGTTGATCCAACAATTCGGTCACAATGGTTAACGACCATTTATAATAACGACTTAAATTCACACAAACCTAGTTTTATCATGTCGGAGCTCGACAGCCTCATTGTTCATTCACATTCATTATATCAAAAATATTAGTGACAATATTCTTGAAACAGTTCTCATCTTTGGGTGAACTACCATTTTAAAGTTTAACTATAGTAGCTAGCTTTATTAGCTTTATTGTTTGTGGCAGTATATTTGTCTTGCCTGCAGAGGGAGCTCTTGCCGTAAACTGTGCGCATAGCATATATAATAGGGTGACCATACGTGCCATTTTCCCAGGACGCGTCCTTGCCAGGATTTCTATATTGCCTTAAATATCTAGGTTTTGGCTGTTTGCGTGTGCAGACCGATCGGTGTATGACATCAAAATACCATACAGACGGTTCCTTATGCTTTCAAAATGCTCTCGAGGTATTTTGATGTCATACACCAATCAGACCGAACACGCAAACAAAGCCAAAACCTAGATATTTTAGGCAATACAGAAATCCTGGCCAGGACGCGTCCTGGGAAAATGGCACGTATGGTCACCCTAATATATAACAAAAGGTGTGACAGTCATATTAATAGATATTACTTTAACAAATGACTAATAAGCAAAGCTATCAGCTATTCCAGTGTTACACGTATCTAGCAGTCTGGCAGACATTTACCTAAAGTGCTGATAATGGCGGGTCGTTCTCAACTCTGTTTGGATGATGCCATTTCCAAATCAAACCTATGGTGCCTCATCTTTTTTGCACTGTATGATGCTAACAGGCTAATTTTCTTGGTTGCTTGTGTGCATTATTTCTTTGTCACAGATAAACAACAATAATGAGGCCTTTCTGCTGATGCAAATAAGCACAATGCAAAATGCAGGGGGGAAAAAACAATCTGTGTGGATGCTCCAATCCCGAGAGTGAATTTCAGATGATAATGGGGTTGAATGAATGAGCAAAAATAAAGTCAACAGTCCGCCGTGGCTGGCAATAAACCAGGAGCACTCTCATCAAAACGTTTACTTCATGGAAAGAACTATAAACCAATAAGACATAAACAAGCCTTCTGTCCTTCATTAATGTTAAATTCTGAGCATAGAACACCACAAAGGGTAAGAAAAAAATTATGATGAACCATTTTCCTGCAAATGTTATCAAAATGATGTGCCAGACATGTTTTAAAGATGAACTTTTTAAAATTACCATTTTTGGATGTCAAATGCAAATGTTTCAGACTTATCTGAAGTCAATGTTGGAGTAGGACGCAATATGTGGAATTAAAACTGTCTTCTTTTTTTTTCTCACTGGCTGTCTGACACTTTCTTTTTAAAACTCCAAAAGTGACTATTTTTGAGTTAAAATGACACCAATAGAACCCATATAAACTTATCTTACCCTTGAGCAAACACAATAAACTACAGAAATTACTGAAATAAATGTCTATTTCCTTTAATCTCTCCCTTGCACATTGAAGAAAGTTTTCAGCAAAAACAAGTTTTCCGAAGGGGGCTACCATAATGAGATATAGATTTAAGGGCTTTTCCTCAGTAGAATAGAGTCTTTGGGTGTCTTTAGAGCAAAGCAACCAGTGAAAGCAGAACGACTCACTTAAGGCAAGAGAGTTTAGCTCGGAGAGGAATATTTTAATGGATTTCATTTGTACTTACAGTGAGTTTAATGAATCTGTGCCATCATTTGCATATGACAATGTGCAAGTAAGGATGGAGAATAGGCCTTAAATAGCATCCACGTGATCTGATTAAGAGACAAATCAGCTTATAAATGAAGTCTAATAACTGCATTGTTTTTTTTTTTCTGGTAATCTCAGCATGCAAGTGCAACACATGCAGCTAAAAAGGTTGGGAGCTGCTGCAGTACGGAACACAGAATTTGTGCAAGACACAAAGTAAAGTACAAATTAAGGCATCTTTGGGGAGGTTTTGAAAGCGTCTTTATGGAATCAAACAGCTTTCAGTTATTTTTCTTGTTGCAGTCTGTAATGGCACAGTTTTTACGAGCAACAAAACACCAAAGTAATTCTGCGCCGCCATTCCCCAGATATGTCTCTCAAAGTGAATGTCTCTTTAAATCATTTAATATTGAATATTAAATGTGATCACAGGTGAATGGAGAGCTCCTTGATGTTAAATCACGATTGTTATTGCAATGCAGTCTAATAGCTGATCAGAAGAAGAATCTGTTATTTGATATAAATAATTAAATGCAACCATTCAATAGAAAACTCTTTGCATATGTTTTGCTACCTGTGACATTAGAGGTTAAATCGTTCTAATATTCAGGCTCAATTTCATCTGTCACTTGGTAATAAATCCACGGGAATAAAACACAAGATGTAATATTTTGAGAATAATGTCATAATAGGCCTTTTATATAAGAAGAAGAAGAAATTACTAATCAAATAATACATTTTAAAATAATATATATCATATTGTTGTATTATTATTTAAAATTTTTTAGTAAAGGTTAAATGATTTAAGTATTTTTATATAATTAAAGTTATATAAAGGCAACCAATGGGACAAGACCATAATTTAAAAAAAAATTGAAAATATTTCTAACATTTTTTCTTCAAACATTTGCATTTTTAGTTTACATTTAAATTTTCCAATGTATTCTCGTAATTTTGAATTTAATGCAAAATATTACTAATTTAATGTTGTATTTTTGGAACATTGATTCTCATTTAAAACATTCTCATTTGAATTCTTGAAATCTTTGATTATTTCCCAAATTAATTTTTTAAACATGCCACTAAAACACTATTGAGATTTAACCAATGTAATGTCCATTTTTCATATTTTTGGGTCAGTGCATGTGTTTTGTTCCTTTTGTACGGAAAGCAATTTTGTCGGGTTGCCACTTGAGTTAAGAACCAGTTGTTAGAACCTCTATGTTAGACAATCCATCCACCCTATTCCTTGTGCGGGACAAAATTACAATAAAAGCCATGATTTCTCACCTCTGCACATGTGGTGGTCTTTTAGCCATGGGCTCTTGCTCTTGTGGGGGCAGGTGTCCCCAGAAGTCAGGGAAGGCTAGGATGGAGTATCCAGCTATTGACTTTGTATTGGCTGCAGTGGCGGTGTAGAGACGTGGATCGTGGTTGGGAGTGCAGATCCCGTACTTCTCCAGAAGCCTGTCCACCATACTCGAGTGGCCTTCTTGGCTTTTCCTGGAGCAGTTGAGGTAATGCTTATGGAAGTCACTCGTCCGGAGGTGATTTTCATCTCGGTCGGAGGGCAGATCGGAGCCTCTCTGGTCACTCGGCATCTTGTCGTTCAAGTCTCCCTCCAGAGTGCTGTCATCATCTGAGCTTTCATCGACCTCAGAGCTGGAGTCCAAATCCTAGAAGACATGATTGTCCAACTGTTAGAGAGAAGCTGCAAAGCTAATATAAATTTTCAGGGGGAAAAATATTGAAGAACATCCACAGATGTCAGCTCTTTATATTTTCGGCCACATCAGCAACTCTCGAATCAAAGGTGTAGGAGAAAAACTGCAAAAAAGGAGACAGAGATTACAGTAAACATCACCCACAAGATATCCTGTTTTCCCTCTGGCACCGTCAACCACTCAGTGCGGTACCGCAGAACAACAACCCAAAATAAACCGTGAAGGAAATGAAAGCGTCTTTCAGAGACTATTGAGGGAGTAAAGCCAAAAAAGGATAAGGACTTGTTTTGAGGATGCAGCCCAAAGTGGTGCACCATCACTTCCAGCTTTCTATTGACTTCAAAAGGGTGATACTGACAGCAAATAGGGTCGTCCAATTACAGTCTTTGACAGGCATAAAATGAACTGTATCAAAATAGCCAATGGCCCTGGCTGCTTTTAGAGCAACCAAATAACAATTTAAACTCACGCCTTGTGCATTTCCATAAATTTAGCGGGGAAAAACGCCCGTGGTCCAATTCCCAGGCTCTTCCCTAAGGTGAATGTGAGAATGTCCAAGAAACATGATAGACATGAGGTGCTGACCGGGGGAAAATTTTGCACACATCGTGCCGATAAAAGCTTCCATCATCTGCGCTCACCTCCCTACGGAAGATCTTAGTTTCTGAATGCCGTCCTGAGTTGGCTCTGATCTTCGCCACAGTGCACATAAACTGTATACCATCAAAGTGAATGTGTTAAGATACAAAACTTTAGTGCTGCACCCTCTGCTATCTCATTGCATTTAAATTTTACTTTATCCCCCTCCTCACACTTCTAAAAATATGTGTAAGCACAAAGATGCCACAACTTCCATTAATACCAACAGCAGGGGATGCATTAATATACAGTGGGTACGGAAAGTATTCAGACCCCCTTAAATTTTTCTCTCTTTGTTATATTGCAGCCATTTGCTAAAATCATTTAAGTTTAATTTTTTTTCCTCATTAATGTACACACAGCACCCCATATTGACAGAAAAACACAGAATCGTTGACATTTTTGCAGATTTATTAAAAAAGAAAAACTGAAATATCACATGGTCCTAAGTATTCAGACCCTTTGCTCAGTATTTAGTAGAAGCACCCTTTTGATCTAATACAGCCATGAGTCTTTTTGGGAAAGATGCAACAAGTTTTTCACACCTGGATTTGGGGATCCTCTGCCATTCCTCCATGCAGATCCTCTCCAGTTCTGTCAGGTTGGATGGTAAACGAAGATGTAATATTTTGAGAATAATGTCATAATAGGCCTTTTATATAAGAAGAAGAAGAAATTACTAATCAAATAATACATTTTAAAATAATATAAATACAAAAATATAATAAATAAATAAATAAAAATGCATAAAAAATATAATATCTTGTTTTGAGGATGCAGCCCAAAGTGGTGCACCATCACTTCCAGCTTTCTATTGACTTCAAAAGGGTGATACTGACAGCAAATAGGGTCGTCCAATTACAGTCTTTGACAGGCATAAAATTAACTGTATCAAAATAGCCAAAGGCCCTGGCTGCTTTTAGAGCAACCAAATAACAATTTAAGCTCACGCCTCATGCATTTCCATAAATTTAGCGAGGAAAAAGATCAGTGGTCCAATTCCCAGGCTCTTCCCAAAGGTGAATGCAATAATGTCCAAGAAACACGACAGACATGATGTGCTGACTGGGGAAAATTCTGCACACATCGTGGCCGGTAAAAGCATCCATCATCTGCGCTCACCTCCCTACGGAAGATCTTAGTTTCTGAACGCCGTCCTGAGTTGGCTCTGATCTTCGCCACAGTGCACATAAACTGTATACCATCAAAGTGAATGTGTTAAGATACAAAACTTTAGTGCTGCACCCTCTGCTATCTCATTGCATTTAAATTTTACTTTATCCCCCTCCTCACACTTCTAAAAATATGTGTAAGCACAAAGATGCCACAACTTCCATTAATACCAACAGCAGGGGATGCATTAATATACAGTGGGTACGGAAAGTATTCAGACCCCCTTAAATTTTTCTCTCTTTGTTATATTGCAGTAGGAACCTTAAGTGCAGCAGAAATTTTTTTGTAACCTTGGCCAGATCTGTGCCTTGCCACAATTCTGTCTCTGAGCTCTTCAGGCAGTTCCTTTGACCTCATGATTCTCATTTGCTCTGACATGCACTGTGAGCTGTAAGGTCTTATATAGACAGGTCTGTGGCTTTCCTAATCAAGTCCAATCAGTATAATCAAACACAGCTGGACTCAAATGAAGGTGTAGAACCATCTCAAGGATGATCAGAAGAAATGGACAGCACCTGAGTTAAATATATGAGTGTCACAGCAAAGGGTCTGAATACTTAGGACCATGTGATATTTCAGTTTTTCTTTTTTAATAAATCTGCAAAAATGTCAACAATTCTGTGTTTTTCTGTCAATATGGGGTGCTGTGTGTAAATTAATGAGGAAAAAAAATTAACTTAAATGATTTTAGCAAATGGCTGCAATATAACAAAGAGTGAAAAATGTAAGGGGGTCTGAATACTCTCCGTACCCACTGTAAATGAACCTTTGCTGTATAAAAACGTCTCGGGTTTGAGGCTGTATACTGCATCTCAGGGGGCTCGCTTTGTCATATTCATTTTTTGAAACCACAAATAACACTAAAACAATGTAGCAGCACCGAGATGTTTCTTTCAAAGGCTTATTTTAATCATGAAGTTGATACAGACAAGTACAACGGCCCTTTTGATGAGCTCTGGGAGTGGGACTCTGGGAATTTGTGCTCGGTTGTTCCTACAAGTGGGTGAGAGGGAAAAAGCAGAGATTCAATTCACAAAAGGAAAGAACGAATCTGTTTGAGGTCAATTCAATTACAATTCAATTACACAATCCACCAACCAAAAGCTATTCATGCCTGACGTTTTTGAAATCAGAATGTAAAATAACAGAAAATTAGCGCAATTGTGACACATTTGGGGAAGTTTTCCACAGCTGTCAAACTCAATTCAAAATGGATATTACTGGCTAATAAGTTTGCAAATGCACAGAATTTGAGTTGCCACCTACATTGTGAACAATTCTGGAAAGTGTACTTAAAGTACTTAAACTACAATCAAGCTACTCTTATAAAAAGCCATCAAAAAGTAGTTACACTGAAGCTATTGCATATTTTCATGTATGCTAATTATTATTCTATATATATATATATATATATAGCATAATAATTAGCATACATGAAAATTTCAATTCAAAAACTAAATTTATTTATTTATTGATTTATTTGAAAATGTCATTTAAATTTCAGTTTGTGAATTTTAATTCTCTTTGCTTGAGATATACATTTTATAATATATTTCATACAAAAGTTCTTTCTGGTTCTCGAATCTGATTGGCTGAGAGCCTTTTCCAGGCGAGCAATATTCTAGTGACAACAGCACTCCAACCGTTTCACCGTTTGTATCACTCTGCTTGCGGTATTTCTCACAGTGAGTGTCACACCCAAATCCACTATAATTTTATAAAAAATACTTATATTGTGTCACGGAATGTAGTTTAAGAGTTTTTTAGGCAAGAATGTAGTTGTTTAGACTTGAAATATGTGGTTTGACATTTTCGGAGATGTGAGCTCCAGGGCGTCAGCGGTCGTTCAGTACTCATGAACCTGCCGAGAGCAGCCTCACCTCTAATTTGCTGCTGGCTGATGTCTCTATAGTGGTTAAACATGAGATATAATTCTTTTTTGGGTAAACCTAATGGGCAGTCTTTGGTCTCAATCTATTATTTGTTCCAGAGCAAACAGTTTTGGCTGAGGGCAAAATCTCATCACATTATATTTTATATAACTAATACTGTATATCACAGCGCTGCCTATGTACTTTTGACTGAATTGGCTAGCAACATTTATGATGACTGTTGTTGTTGTTTATTAAATATTATTAGTCAATGAATACTATTTTATATAGATAGTAGTATTTTTCGTAATAGTATTTAGTATTGAGAAAAGGTGTGTGTGTGTGTGATGGTCATTTTAGTTACATTGTTCCACCATTAGATGGCGACAAGAGACTGTTTTATGAGTGAGTCAGCAGTAAAGACTTTTATATTGAAAGAGACTGAAACAGGGTTGTAAATAAGGAAGCTATTTTTACTTTAAACAACAACTTGTAAGAAGCAGCCAACAAATGCACTGAGCAGCGCTGTCATTAGAAATCCCCCTTAACAGATGAAAGGACAGTACGACAAAGATATCGCTTTCCTCAGCGGACATTAAGACTAATGTTTTATTGTGAATATGAGATTGAGCTGAAGAATGAATGCTGGATCAGATGCAGGTAATCACACTCGCTAAGGTAATCTCTCTCTCATAATACTCTATATAATACAGTGAGCTTTTACTACAGTAATACAATGAGCTTTCAATGAAGCAACTCGATGTTCCTTCGTTACTAGTTCTAAAGTGGTGTTTTCGAATTAGTAACGGAGGTTTGAGCTCAGCTGTTAAACTGTCAAACTGAGATTTGAATCTGTGGTGGAAAGAATTAGTTTGCACAAAAGAGAGTTTTTAAAGACAATCCGTTGTTGTCTTTTTTTATTTACACACTTGTGGCGTTAACTGTTAACCGTATAAATGCAATATCTCACTCATAACAGTGCGATATGGCTGTATATCAGCACGCTATGATTACCTACGGCCGAATCACAGCTGTGCTGATATACAGCCATACCACACTGTTATGAGTGTGATATTGCTCATATACTGTATATACACACAAACACAAAACTGACTTTTGCTACCTGTCCAAAGCGTCCAAAATAAATAAATAAATATATAAATTAATCAATTCTAAACTAAACTAAATATTGAAACTGTATGGTCAATTGTACTGTACTCTAAATACAGTAAACTGTATTTAATACCGCACAGTAATGCTTGTGAGGCC